TGTTTTTTCTTTGATGTGAATTTGTAGCAGTTGTAACTAAGATATTGTAATTATGTTAAATATACAAATCGTTATGTCTCATTGCATTAAGTGTATCTGTTAATATTATAATGTGGRACGACGATGAACGGATCTTACATGGCCCGTGGCTACCAATATTAATGAAAAAAAAACATAATAAAATAATGAAAAAATATAATATAATTTTGTGTCAAAAAACTCACAACTATCTTAGATTCTTARAGAATGGTTTACTTGATATACATTATTATACTGTCTTACCTATCTTCTAATAAACTGTAATCGAAATATTGAATAAGATTTTTTTGTTAAACTTTTATGTGCAGTCCGCATAGTCAAGCTTTTCAATATATTTGGCACACCTGATATTTTGAGTTTGACATGCCTGCTCTAGTGGGATAGGTAAAGTAATRTATAACTGCTACCTAATGCGAAAACACTTCTATTTAAGTTTTAAAAAGATGACCACTGGGCGAATATTCATTCAAACCGTTATAAAAAGATGAAATTTCTTAAATGGAATATAAATATAAATACTTAGAAATTAACATAATATTATATTATTATATTTAGTAAATCGTAAACGAAAATAAAAGTTAAGATATGGTATAGGTACGAGGTACTTAAAAAATAGACTTGTGGCCTTTTTTATAGGTACTCGAATTTTCTATCAACAATTACATGTATATCATAATAACAAAAATCCACTACTTTATACCATAATAATGTCGCATTAAACAAACAAACAGTCTTCAACAGTCAATGAAAAGAAATATTTGAATTTCAGGTGATAAATATATTTTATAAATAAGCCAGTAAAATAATATGCAATATATCTTACAATCAAAGTAATTATTCTATAATATCAAACTTCTRTAGAACGAATATTGTGTTTAATGTTTATGTATTTTCGGTGCATAGAAATTACTATTAGTAAGTACTAAGAACAACTAGTTAGGAATCTTATTTAAAATTGTCTTAGCTATTTTACCCAATTTTAAAAGAAAAGAAATTCGAAAATTTCGAATCGATCCCTTCAAATATTTGAAAATTAGTCGAACTATTTTAAATATTTAGAAAATAATATATTTAATTTGTTTTTATATAGATTATTGTATTAAAAATTTCTTACCTTACTGGTTTGCTTAACCATATAGGTCTCCACAAATATGGATCGGTACTGTAGCTTATGGATATAACTCGGACGTATGGACAATCCAGTGGCAACCAATCTCTGGGCCAACAATTAGTAAACTCTTTGATCTCCTCGCCGATAGMCAATCTTTCAAATTTATTTATTGAAGATAAACCAGAATTTCTGACGACCACAGGCTCAGGTTTCTGATCCACTTGTTTCCACACACCTTGTTTCCAAGTCTTGAGTTTGTCGCCTCTAAGTCCATGTATAAAAACTACGTCCATGCAAGTTGACTCAAGTCCAGGGTCGTATAGTATCTCACATTTAACCTCACATCTTTTAGGACCATCGACTTCTGAATCAATCCAATTCAGTTTTTGTTCAAAAGTAATTAACGCGATATTACATTTTTCTATTGCGAATCTCGCCAACCACCAACTGTATTTTATTAGCCATAATAAAAATGAAGTCATCGATGCAGTTTCGTAGAAAAAAAAATTCTTGGTCTTCAACCAACATGATATTAGCATTTGCTGGTATGATGTGATGTCAGGTTTAAAGTAACAAATAACATATGCAATATCTTGAATTGTCTTCATAATATTCCTATTATAAATTAAATAATATGTTTATATTAGTACTGTAAAGAATAATTATTTTTAGATTCAAAGTTTCTATTGATAGTAATATTTCTACAGCTGATCAGTCCAGCCCCAAACAATAACTTAGTCTAATTTGTAACGTGCATTCAGAATTTAAAATCCAACATTTTAATTATAATATTCAGTGATAATCTAAGTATTTCGATAGGTACATAAAAACCAAATTTACAAAGATAATTTTATGAGTTATAACTTTTAAGTATTTTATAGTATTGATGAACGGAATACCTAGCGGGCCAACATTTAGGGGGGTAATCATCATGWAMCACTCTACTACGTTCGTCTAAACTTTAAATACTTATAACTTATAAACTACCAGCCGTAAATTCGATTTTTTTTTATCGAAATACTCAGAAAAATGTTCTTTTTCGAAGATTCATTTAAAACTGTAAGTTGTCTTTCAAAATAGTAAGAAGCATAAAAAATTATGAGAATAAAAAATAAAAAAAGTAACACGTTTATTTTTCATGACTTTATTTTTGGACAATATAAAAATTATTGAAACTTTTTGAAATAATGAGTGGTTCGCGATAAAATATTCACAATAATGATGGTTATAAGGTAGGTTAAACAAAGAGTTATCCCAAAAGATATCACGTCACCCTAGTATTATAAAATAAATAGTTATTAAAATAATATATTATTATTTGAAATATATTATAGTAATTAAATAAATTTTAAACTTAATCAAATTACCTAGTTTAAATATTTTAATCATTTCATAGTCCATGGAAAAAGATAATAATATACACACTAGCAATAACTTTCAAGTCACATAGATTAATATTTGTTGAATTAAGTTAGTACGTCAAAATAATTAAAACCGTTCATGAAAAATTGTCATTTATCGTTTAATTCCATCCACTTTTGAACTTTAAAAGTTAGAAAAGAAATTATGTAAAGAAAATTAAAGAATTTTGTGAGAAAAATTTTTGAGAAAGCTTGTATTCAATTTTTAAAAATTGARTTAAAAGTTTTATGCATTTTTAACTATTATAGCTTCAAAACAATTTCAAAAATGTTCTTTTGTGATGACTCAATGTCTGACACAACAACTTATCCAAATGTAAGATACTTTTTTAAGTATAATATTAAACTATTGTCTTATATCTATACCACAGATGTATTCAACGTTCTAAGAGAAGTCGGTATCTGCTCAGTTATATAGTATGATAAATGTGAAAATTTCATCAAAAATTAATTCAACTTAGATAGGTACCCTGGGTGATGGGTGATGGCCCTTAGATGGGTACCCATATTATTAAATTTAGGTATATTAAATTAATAATAGCAATATAAATATAAAATAAAATTTTCTCAGCAATATAATATGATAATATGCAGAAAGACCTACTCCGTTCAGAATTATTTTTCATAAAAAATGATTAATCAATGAATAAATATTTAACTCATCGATTACACTGACCTACTCAATGATAAGGTAAAATCGACAACTGCTTTAGGCCGTATAGGCGAGACTCCCGACTTTTACTATAATAATTTAAAATAACCACTCGTCCGATCAATTTAATATATTATATGGCATGTAATTATTAAGAGGACGTGATATCTGCATGTGTTATCTCCGTCTTTCAAGTGAGCAACGTAAAAAATTTTACGCCTTGCAGAACACGTATAGCTCAGTGAGTTTTAAGATATATAAGTAATTTACAATTTTATAATACTCATAACTCGCTATAAAATTAAAATATAATAAAAAAAAATCTATGAGAAGCCCTAGATAATAATCTTACCTTTAAATTTTAATATAGGTCAATTCACTCTAAATTTTTAACTAACAGAGCCACACGTGTTTCGCTGAGCGTACAATTTGACATGTTACGCACTTGTAAGACGGAGACAACACATGCTGGGGTATCACGTCCTCTTAAAGAATCATCATAAAAATAATATTAAATGAAAAGGGTATACAACTTACTGACTCTGAAACGTCAACATAGATTTTATTGCATTTGGAACATATTTGAACCAGCTATTATGGTCGGTGCCGGATAGCCGATCGTCCATTCTGAAATTAAATATTTGTTTTACATAGGTATACCTACTTGAGTAGGTACCTCAAAAAATCTACTCCAAAACAATTTTTTCTCATAAGCCATTTATGACAAAAAAAAATATTGCACCGATAACATTTTAAAACTGTTATTCAATATATATAATTATTAAATATTATATTTAACATAATATTATTATTTGTAAAAATCGTTAAAACTCTTGACTAATTGCAGTGCTTAATATCATATAAGATGATAYCATATTACCATAATGTCCGATCCTTTACGATTGTTGTATTTAATTAATTGACTTACAATAAGACTAATTTACTGCAACTCGCAGTATTATTAATTTGACATTGAACTCAAAATGTATGGTTTCATACTGACACAATATTATCGACAATAAAAAAAAAAGTTATGTGTATATAGGTGTTGTGATAACGTATAAAATATTTTTAAATTTATTAAATGGTGTATAAATAATTAATGGAAACTTCATTATAATAATATATAACTGGCGATTTTATATATTTTTTTTTTGTTATAAATTGTATTTAATTTGTTGTTTAAAGGTACAATACATGGGCATTTGTTGTCTCCGTTTACAAGTGCGTTACATAACAAATTTACGCTCAACAGACCATGTTAAGCTTCGCTTGTTCGATTGTTTAAAAATTAGCGTAAATTGACCTATAATGAT